GAAGGAGCAGTGTTTGGAGTGAGGGTCCTAAGGAGCCAGGATGGATGGGTGGAGAGTTCTGGTAAAGGGGTAAGGAAGGAAAAGAGAAGGATGAGTGTGGATACCGACACCGTGGAAGTAATGAAGAGGTCTGTGAGGAGATTCTTGCCTAATGGCCTATAACATTTTTGTTAAGCCCAAGAGTAGATCTCCTGAGAACAAATGGAAGAGGCAGGAAGGTAAGGAGCCTGAAACTGTAGACTTGACAGGCAATTCCCAAATTTGGGGTGTGGATCATAAGTGTGAATGCTGGGTTGGTTGGAAGTCACTGGAGTCTAGATTTTGTGCCTCTCCTATGGGCTCCTGTGGGATTCACCCCATCAGAGCACTTTTCACTCTTTATTAAAATTTATTAAAATCATCTGGTTGCCTTTCTCTCTGTTCCACCAGTCTGTAAGCATCTTGAGGACAGAGACTATGTTTGTCATGCTAACCAGTCCCAATCCCAATGCTTGTCTCAGAGGCGACTGGCACCCAGGACATCTGTTTAATTAATTACCGTGTGGAGTTAGGAAATCTGAGTGTTCATTATGAGCATAGCGTGTTGGATGTCAGTTTAAATAACACTTGCTGTGAACTCATATGTATCAAGGAGGATGCTAGCCACTCAAATTATGAAGATAGAACATGTCGATGTTGAAATTGCCTAGCAGATCCTGAGTAAATAGGAAAACTTATGGGCCGAATCAATAATGAGCATGAGGAAGTGGCTAACAAATCAGCAATGAGGCAAGGTAGTGGGAGAAGATACGAGCCCAGAGGAAAAGAAATGATTTAGAAACAGTATGGGGAATTTAGAGAATGGTTTGTGAAGTGTGGGAAAGCGGGCAGCCTCCTCTAAATTCCCACTGGAACCCGTGATGAGCAGGGAGGGGGAGGAGGAGTCAGAGTTCAGTTGTGGCAGATTTAGGTGAAAGTTCTTTAGGCTGAGGTGTTTGAAACTTTATCTTGAGGGCAATATGCGGAACAACTGAAGAGTTTTAAAAGGGGAAGTCTGTCAAATTTGCATTCTTAACCCTCACATCACTGTGGAAATTAGGATGGGGTAAATCTGAAGGTCAGTTAGGAGACTGTTGGAGGAATCCATGTAAGGGACGAGGGAGTAAACAAAAATAGTGGCAGCAGAGATGAAGATAGACTGATCTGGGGAGACTGAGGAGTTATAATTGGCAGAACCCGGCAACAGTTCAGATGAGGGCAAGGGAGAGGAATGCGCACCGAAGATAGGTCTCCGGTGACCAGGAGAATGGTGACCCAGTCACTGCAATAGGACCAGTACAGGGGGAGGAGCAGGTGTGAGGGCTTGATGAGTTCGGTTTGGGACTAATTGATCTGAAGAGTGCATGAAACATACCAATGAAGGCGTCCATGAGTCATTTAGAAACAGAGATCCGGACCTCAACCCCAGGCCGAGATATGGATTTGGGAGTCATAAAGCCTACAGATGTAACTCAGAGTGATGAGAGTGAAGCCTGTCACCCAGGAGATTGCAAGGCATGAGAAGAGACCTGAGAACAGGACAGGAGAAGGACCTGCAAAGGAGTCTGAGGTGGATCCAGGATGAATAGTAGAATCAGGAGACAGTCGGGGTCAGGAAAGGAGTTTGAGAAGAGTCGTCCACAATCCATTAGAGATCAAGCAGGATGGACTGCGAGCTAGCCACCAGATTTGACAAGAAGAGGTTACTGGTGACTTTGGAGCACAGAGGAGAGCAGAATTAGTGCTTTTGATTACAGCGAGAGAACGTGGACTCTGGAATTATATACAAATCTGAGTTCAGTTTCCATTTCCTTAGTTTTTTTCATCCGAAAATTGTGAATAATAATAACTACCTCTATGAGATCTTAAAGGTAAATAAATAATGTATATAATATGTATTATGGTATATGACTAGTTCTTAATAAACACTAAAAATATGTTCATTTCTTCTCCCTGCCATCATTCCTTCTCTCTTTCCTTCATCATTAATATTTCCCCTTTTATTCTAATAGTCAAGAAGAATCCTAGATACAGTATTTATCCCAGCAACTGACTCTTAAAATTGACATATTCCTCTCCTTTTACCACCGCGTTCTTCTTTTTAATTATTTTTAAAATTGTATTTAGTGGGTCTTTTTTTCCAACTCTTATCCAATCTTACTTTGAAGAAAAATTGAAATAAAAGTAAATAAGGGGCTGGACACTCTTGATTAAACATGACTACCTCCCCTTATCTCCCACTACCTCTCAAAACCTCACTGACCTAACACTAAAGAAATATAAAAAGGTACTAAAGTCACAAAAGTTCAGAGAAGGAGGCAAAGCAACAGCAGATGAAAGTTCAACAAATATTAAGAAGGTAAAAGGCGGGAAAATGTTACCTGCCCGGAAGCATCCTAAGAAATACCAAACTAAGTGCCAACAGTGGAGATCACCCACAAGAAGCAAGTCAGTTCACCCAGTTTAACCTCTATGGGGCTTCATGCTTGGAAGCACATACTACCACAGAAGGTCAGAAATGAGGTATGGAGCCAAACATGGGGATTGGTTGAAGTCCGTTTAGAGAGCACTTTGCCCCCATCCCAGAGCTTTTCTCTCAACAGCAGCTACTCTAAACTCTTGCTGCATAAGGAGGAAGAAAAACTCTGGAGGCATCCATACTCAGAGGCCTCAGGCGATGTTTGAAGGGCAGGGATGAGATACAGGGTGAAAAACTGGGTGGTGGAAGGAAGGGCTATACACTGCATTGTGGCAGCCCCAGCCAGGCCTCCACCCCTCAGGAAGCCAGTAGCCAGGCATTTATCACCCCCACCATCTCCCCATTCCTGGGAAAACAGAAAAGGCTTCTCCAGAGGCCCTGAGGGCCCCAGGAGGAAAAAAAACCTCCACTGACTGATGTTTATAAGTTCCTCAATGTAAAGACTAGTTGTTGGCTGATAAAGAAATTTCCAAAGACCAAAGGCCATAGCACCTGATTAAAAGAGCCCACCAAGGGCCTACTGTAATAAATGAATAAGACCTGCACCAAGATCTATCATCGTACAATTTCAGGAAAGGTTTTAAAAGCGTCAAGTGGAAAAACGAGCCACCGACAAAGGAATGGGAATCAGAATGACGTCAGACTTCTCGACAGCAGCACTGGGGAGGCTCAATCCCAGAGAAGCTTATTTCTAACGTGGAACTACATGCCCAACTAATCTAACATGAGATCCGAAATAATTTTCAGACTTTCAAGGACACACGCAAAAAAAATAATTTTCATTTCTTAGGAAGCTACTAGAGAATGTGTTTCAACAAAACCATAGTGTGAACCAAGAAAGAAGATGAGGTAGATCCCAGAAATAAAGCAATCAACAGAGAAGAATGGCAAAAGGAAATCCCAGAACAATGTTTGTATACCAGGCCTAGCAAGCAACTGGGTCAAATGAGCAGAAAGACAGTGGGGCAGAGGTTTCCAGGGAAACGATGAAACTGATCAGTTAAGGGTTGAACATTTGGGGAAATCATTGCTACATGTTTAGAACATATTTAGAACATCTAAAACATTTAGAATGGGTCTAGGTACTTAGTAAACTAAACAATTGAAAAAAAAAATTAACTGCAGGTAAAACCAATTTATAAAAGGAAGAAAATATAATGTTACAACTTAAATAAACAATGCTTATTGGTCAATGATATAAACAGTAGCTATTGATTGTGAGGATAAGGGGGATTTGAGTGGTACAAGACAGCTAATTCCTCAACTGCCAGAATGAGAAATATATAGTGTCTAAAACTGATAAATTGAGTAATAATAATGTATTAGTTTGCATGGGCTGCCGTAACAAAATATCACAGACCAGGTGGCTTGATAAACAACAGAAATTTATTATCTCACAGTTCAAGAAGCTCTGATTAAGGTGTCCGAAATCAAGATGTTACAGGGTTGGTTTCTTCTGTGGCCTCTCCATGACTTGTGGATGGCTGACTTCTATTGTCTTCAGATGGTCTTTCATCTGTATGCGTATGTGCCCTAATCTCCTCTTATAAGGACACAAATTATGTTGGATTAGAGCCTACTCTAATGACCTCATTTTAACATAATTACCTCTTTAAAGACCCTGTGTCTAAATTCTGAGGTACTGGGGTTAGGGCTTCAACGTGTGAATTTGGGGGACAAAGGGAACACAATTCAGCCCATACCAAGTAGTATAAACTCATTATTTGGAAAAATGGAGGTAAACACCAGAAGAAATAGCCAAAAGAGTTTAAAGTGGCTGCCTCTGGAGCGAGACTGGATGATAGCAAGGTATGAGGCAGGTACTATTACTTTTGACATTTTACTAAATAGCAAGTGAGGAGCTAACCTTGAACCCGGTCTGACGCCAAATCTCATGTTCTTCCACTCTATAAGACTTGGAGCTCCTCAAGGGCCCTGGCAGCACCATATTCATCTCTGTACCCCCAGCAGCACTTTGCACGGTGCAGCATGATGGGCCTTCACTACATATTCATTGATTTATTTACAGCAGGTAAAATTAACTGCAGGTAAAACCAATTTATATATCACGGTGACCTTTAAAGCTGCCATTTGTTGGTTTTCTTTTTCCGTTTAAAAACAAAAATGGTAAAGAAAGATTAAGATCCAAGGAAACGTCAAATGGCCGTAATGTAGAGTGCCCAGCTGAAAGTTGCCTACCGTTGCTGTCCTAGAATCAGCGGGTGCATCTCTGATAGCATCTTGAGTTTTGGTCCTTGAATGTGTCCATCCACAGCAGCACAGGGGCTCAGGGTGATTTCCTGACTAACAAAGCTAATGGTAGTCTTTCAACCCCTCCTCCCCGAGGTCTAGAACAGCCACTCATCCCCATTTTCTTGAGACTAGTTTGGCCGCCGAAGGTGACCATGGCCTCTGAGAGTTATTCTCAGACTTGGGGCGGTGATATCATTCACAGTGATTGATGCGTGATCCCATGAGGGGTTTTGGTCATTTTTGTGTTTAGGTTGATCCACAGCTATTCACCCGGCTGTTCAGGCTGACAGGATTTTGTGGTGGTCTCCATCCCGGAGGCTATGTGATGCCTTTCCTGGAAGCACACATCCAGTGTCCTCTGGGGAGTCGCAGAGGTTGGTATGTCTGTACGTCTGTCTCAGCATGCCTCAGATTATTGCGTCCTAATAAAATTCTGATAGCTGGGCCCCATCAATATCTCAAATACATGTGAGGAAATGTTAATTTAGAATCAATTTTAGGATGTTTCAGACTGTAAAGTCCTTTTAACTAGATCTCTGGCGAGGATGTAGAAGCACTTTATGGGACTGTAAATTTCATGTTGAACCGTCTTGGTGAAATACACATCTCCCCTACACACAAGCTGTTCTCTCCATATCAATCATGGCCCCTGCAAGTAATGTTTCACAAATATTCTGTAAATCACAGAAAACCCCATGATAATGTGAAATATGACTTTCACTTGTCTGTTAGACAAAAGAATCACACATGCCTCTCTCCCATCAGCACTAACATTTGTTATGGATAATAACACTTTCAATCACAACTATTTTTGGAAAACGGGTTTATTTTAAACCTTCACTCCCCCACTGAAAACACTCTTCCAAGGACACAGACTCCTACAAACCACAGCCCATTAATTCAACTACGGAATGGGAACTTTTTCTTTCCACTAACTTTTTTTTTTTTAAGTTGTTTTTAAGAGGGTTAGTACAAAATCCCAAGTACAAGGTTAAGAAGCACTTTACCTTGGCTGATTGGCATAAGAGGAGGCCAGACCTCTAAAGACCCCAAATCGCTGACCCTGTGTGAAGTGAGGGGTGAGAGAAGCCCAGGTTTTTAGCAGGTGCCTTCATCTCAGCTGGAGTCTGTGCTGCTTTTAGCTGCTGCCAGCAATTAAAGCCAAAGAGCTAAATTTTTAGCCCTTAAACCTGAAGCAAGCGTTTACTACCTTGATAATTTTAATTCCACTACAACACAGCTAGATCCTCCTTGTTCAAGTAGCAGGTGTATTTTGGATGTCACTACATCCGTGTAGGTCACAGAGGCTCACCAGCCTCCAGCTGATTGCTGGAAAAGCAAAACCCCTAGAATAACCTACAGGATTTGCATGGTTCTAAACATTTTGGTAACCTGTCTGTTTTCCCTCCCTCTGTAGCCAACTTCAGGACTGATCATGATTATGACTTCTATAAAGGAGCAAGCAGCTATTAGCCGGCTCTTGAGTTTTTTACAGGATTGGGACAATGCTGGCAAAGTCGCAAGGAGTCACATCCTCAATAGTTTCATTGAAACCAACCAAGGGAAGACTGCCCCTGAGCTGGAGCAAGAGTTTTCCCAGGGAGCCAGCTTGTTCCTGGTACGCTTAACCACGTGGCTTAGACTCACGTATCCTTTGCTGAACAGGAAAAAAAAAAAAATAGGCCATCTTCAAAAGAGAAAAGGAGAGAAAATTATTGATGGAGCCCTTCTCTCGCTTCGAAGATTTTAGAACAGGACATCTGATGATCAAAATATCATCCCAAAAGTCAAGAACTCCCTCAGCCTCTTGTCTTCCTTAACCTTTTCTCACTCCTAACCCCTTTTGCTCCCAACACAATTGCAGTGGGTATTCTGTCTAGGGCTCATCCTCTATTGATACTGCACTTGAATCCCCTCCCACCTCCTCAGAGACTTTATTCTGTCTCTCCTAGAGCTTCCATCTTAGCCTCGTTACCAACTTTTTTCATCAGCATTTACATCTACTCAAATCTCTTCTACCTTAGAAAATTAAATCCCTGTCTCAAACCTACGTTCCACCTAGCTCCTGCCCTTCATAGTAAAGCTTCTTGAAAAGATCTTCGTCCCTCTCTCTCCAGTTCCTCACCTCTCTTTTCTCCTCCACCCACTGCAGTCTGACTTCTGTCCCCTCCACTCCACTCTGCAGGACTTGCCAAGGTTACCAATGATTTTCAAACCCAGCAACTACATCTTCGGTCCTTATACATGACCTTTCTGTAACTGTCACTCAGCTATCCCCACTTCTCAAAACATTCTTCCTTTGGTTTCTCTGATACGACTCTTGGTTTTCTCCTTTCTTTCTGTATATTCTTTCTCTTCTTCAGCCAGCCTTTAAATGTTTCTTGAGATTCCCTCTACCTCCCTCTTCTCTGCTCACTCTCAGATTCTTCCTGAGTGATCTAATCCATTGTCATGACGTCAAAACCACTCTAGTTTAAGGACTCCCAGATATTTACCCCTGCCCAAATTTCTCTCTGGAATCTGAGTTCCATACCCATTTTTCAAACTATCATCTCCACTTGTATCTCCTGCAGTGACTCTCACATTTCTGGCTTGGGGAAAACAAAGTAAACAGGGTGTGCCATTCTGTGAGAAGAGAATACAAGAAGAGTGAGTTTGGGGTAGATAAGTTTAGTTTAAGACTCATTGACCGAGGTGCCCGTGCCCAGGAGCCCAGAGGCAGATTGGGGCTGAAGGTAGATTTGGTCACCATCAAGGGGACAGTTTGGAGTTATGGGTGCATTTGAGCATATTCCTGCTCTGTACGGCCACAACCCTCTATGGATTCATCTCAAACCTTTTTATTACACATTTTTCTCCTTGCCTGTACCCTCCCCCTTTTTCAAAACCCCCTCCTCTCTTGACTGATTCCTACTCCATTATTCGGGTCTCACTTTAAACATCACTTTCTCAGGAAGCTCTTTTCTGAGCCACAGACTAGCTTAGGTTCCCTGTTATACATACTCATAGCACTTCTCTTATCTTCGTAGTCATAACATTTTATTTTTCTTACATGCTTAATATCTCTCTTCCCCCACTGGATTGTAAACCCTATGAGGGCAGGACTTGCATGTTTTCTACTCATAGCACAGTGTCTGGCATATAATAGGTTCTTAATACATATTTGCTAAATAAAGGAAAGAATGGACCAGAGTCTGCAGTTATATAGAACTTTATAAAGGATTAAGTAAATACAGCTCTCTTTTTCTTACAGTTGTCATTGATAAAATTAATCAGACTCAAGCCTAGACCACAAGCCAAAAGGAATAACACTCAATATATTACTAGGCTGGCCCCAATGTTCTCAGATATTAGTGTGCATGACGAGGGTCTAAAATGCAGATTGCCAGTATACCTCCCTACTCCAATCCTAAGATCCAGATTTGGTAGAAAGAAAGAAGGTCCCTGGGCTCTTTATTTCTCACAAGCAATCTAGGTGACTCTGATGCTGGTAGTTCACAGACAGTGCTTTGAGAAACATCAGCACCTGTATGTAATCTGGCTTTGTCTCCACAGCTCATGACACTAACCTCGCCAAGGTCATCAGCAACCTTTTTATCACCAAGTCTAGCATACTCTTTTCTCTCCTTACCTTACCTGACACCGTTTTCCATTTCACCACAGGATGAGGTGAGTGAGGCAGAGTCGTACGTGTACGGGGTCAGGTCGTATCTTTGTTTAAAACGTCATTATTTTATTTAACATGAGTGTTTTGTATTTTTACTTTTTAATAGTGAATTAAAATGTTATTTGATTACTGAGTTTTGGGTGCCCCCTTAAATTTTGCACTCACCCTAGCCCTGGCCCTGCTTGACCTCTGCCCCTTCATAAGCTCTTCTCTATCTTCTTCCATTGCTGTTCTCACTGTTGTGGTATATTTCCTAACCACCCCCTTAAACATTAGTGTTTTCAAGAATTCTGTGTTCAACCCACTTCTTTTCTTAATCACTGCACTTACAACCAGTGACCTTCTTCGTATTCTAAGTGCCAATCAGAGTGCCTGACATTTAGTGCACACTCGGTCAATGTTCATTGAATGACTGAATAAACCACACTTCTAATTTACAGTTGTACATTCAGTTTCTACACCTGAAATTTCTCTTAATTAACTTTTTGTGACCTTGTCATACAATAGAGAAAATAGACTGGCCAAAGCGACATAGCATTTTGAATCAGCATTTCTCCTCCCCAGCCTTCCAGTTACAGTGGATTTTGAAGGAAAACAAATCATCATATCACAATTGGCAACCACATAATCCCACATAAGCTCTGAACCCCTTTTTTAACCTTGGACTTCCAGAATATGAGTAAAACTAAGGATTTATTTATTATAATGACAAGATTATTACTTACTACTTATTAAGTCTTTTTTATGTTCTAGGCACTGAGCTATGGACTGTATAAATATTATCTCATGTGAGCCTAACCCCAAGCCTAATAGGTGATTGGTATTGTCTCTTTTTATAGTTAAGAAAGGTGAGCCTTAAAAAGGTTGAATAATTTACTAGTAAATGGCAGAGATAAGGTTTGAAATGGGTCTGTTTGGCCCAAAGCTCATATGCCGTCCACTTCACTTTAGTATCTTTCACCCAGTGGACAGTGCAGACCCACAGTTCCACCTCTAACAAGCTGCACAATTAGCCCCAATTCCTCTATTTGTCTACAGGCAGGAAGGCCTGACAGTAAGAACTCAGTTCCTAGTTCTATCAGTTTACATTGGGACCTTGGACAGGTCATTAATCTGTCTAAGATTGTTTCCTCATGAATTGAATGGAAATACTAATAGCGCCCACTGCAGGGTATGGTGAGCATTAAATGAGACAATGTAAGCGAAGCAGTTAGCACAGTGCCTGGCACACAATAAACACTTAGTACTTGTTAGCTACCTCTGATATTGTAGCTGTCTTCTGGAACTAATTGCTGAAATAATGACCAGAAATATATATAGTGAGTGGCTATGAAAATAGGACTAGCCTGAGACAGAAGAAAAAGAAGGTGATGAAAGTTGATCAGTCTATACGGTAACTGAAGAAAAGAGGGACAATAGACTGAGGCAGGAATGGGAGCTGAGGTTTGGGGGAGCAGGGTGGAGGGCAATGTAGGACTAGAGAGAGAGGCTACCATGTGGGCTGATAACCTGGCCCCCAGCTATAGTGACAACAGGAAGGGGAGCCTGGCTCCAGAACAAACACTGTTTTTGCAGTAAAGAGTCTCCTAATGAGCCAATCTGTCTCTACTTCTATTGGCATCCTGGGAACCAGGGTGCAGCAGAGATAATTTGCCTCATGCATCCACCCCCCCCTCCAACAAAGCACCATTACCTCCACCCCATTACATTAGCCTTTATCAGTCTTGGAAGCTCTCAGTCATCCTCCATGAGCTGCAATAATTTTAGCTAATTTCTTAAGTGTTCTAAGAGCCTACGATGTGTTATGAGCCTAGTAATTGTTGACTGGTTCCCTCTCTGTTGTGGCTTGATTTCGTACCTTCTATCCGAGCTGATGCGTGCTTTGGGTGCTTTATTACAATGAAGCTTTTTGCAAAGGCTCACATTAAAAACAACATTAAATACTGAGGTCGTTTTAAATCAGAGTTTAATTTTTCTGCCATTTCCTGTTGTTCTTATTAGAAAGACATGCAATTCTTCATAAAGATAGTGACCTCCAGTATAAAGCTTTGAGCAAGTACAAAATTGAGAATTAATGATGAAGCTGATTATTTTTAGAGAAGTCTAAGAATGAGGCACAAAGTAATGAACTATGCTGAGACGCAAAGGTGCAATGGTCATGGCGTAGAGAGGCTTGGAAAATTGCCCCCCAGCTTTCTCCATGCACCTTTTATTCATCAGGGCCTCCTTATTCTCTAGAGAGCCTGTCAGAGCCAAGGTGGCTTAACTACTGGAGAACCATGAACATGCCTGCCGGTACCCCATTCCTCCTACCCCATGTGTGTTGCCCCTTCTCCTTCAACTTAGCGGCCCTTCTCAGATAAAGGACACAATTCATCTGTTTGTCATCCTGGGCCATTGATGGTACCAAAGATCAGACACAGAATCTGGTTTCTCTGTGGAGAACCACCTTAAAATTTGCTCTTTAACTTGTCATACAGCTATATGACTGGCTCGTGTTTAGAGAAGCTTCTAAGGGCCATTGGCATCTTTTTATCATCTGTAAACAGGTGAGTTCTGTTCAGGATAGATTCTGGGTTCTCAGTTTTTCTATCGGGCTCATGGTGTCCTTGGCATTCACACCACATGGGACCAGGGCTTCTAGTCATCCTTGGGTACCTAGTAGCCCTCGGGATGGGTCCAGGGGTAGTTCAGCTGCGGTCCTGCTCTAGTTGCTCCTCCATCCCATGTTCTCTATAGACCCTTTGATAGTCAGCATCGTCTTGGTTGTGAAATACAAAAAACCAACCAATTCATACTAGACCAGGAAAAACAGGAATTTATTAGCTCACTTAACTGAAAAACCCAGAGGGTAGAAACTCATATTTCAGTCCTGACTACATCCAGGAGCTCAAAATATGTTATCAGTACTTTGTCTCTCCCTGTCTTTTTTCTCCATTTCTCAGCTCTATTCTCCTCTGTGTTCATAGGCCTCATTGTGCTGTGGTTCTCAGAAGCTCCAGACACGCTTTCTTGTAGCTCAACCACACCGAAAAGAGGGCATCTCTTTCCCAAAGCCTCCCAAGCAAGTCTCAGGTTTTGATCCTCACTGGACCAACTTAGGTCACACGCCCAGCCCCAAACCAACGACTGCAGTCAGAAAGATGACATATCCTATCACCTGCCCATCCTACCAAAACCACATGGCTCATGAGTGGTGGAGGGGTGATCCTGCAAGGGACAGTATTACAAGAAGAGCAACAGATGCTAGGAAGTCATATACAAGAAATGTCCATTGTATTGAACTTTCTCATTTCCTGCTGGAAGGAATAATTTCTCAACTCTCGTGTCACTTTACCTATGAGCATTTCCTGGATAGGAGGGCAAAGTTTGTAAAAAAAAAAAAATAGAAGATGTCCTTTTTTAATGCAAATTTTTTAAAAAAAAAAAAAAAAAAAAAAAAAGATCTTGAGATCCCTTAGAAAGGTTAGTGCCAAGAAACTTGACAAACATCTAATTTCTACTCTTTTATCACTCTGGACAGTAATCGCTACCTTATAGAATTTCTTGAGGTTGGAGGCGTCCTAACACTCTTGGAGATACTTGGACTGGAGAAGATCAAGGAAGAGGACAAGAAGGAATCCATCAAACTACTTCAGGTTATTGCAAACTCTGGCAGGAAGTACAAGGAGCTCATTTGTGAAAGCTATGGTGGGTACTGTGTGACAAGGGTGAATTCCCACGTCTCCCCTGGGGTCTGGGTGAAACGGTGGCAGCACCCAGCACTGCTATAGGAAAATACGTCATGAAACTAGTTGCACTGGAAGCACTTTGTCTTGTGGACTCAATTAGCTCCCATCCATCTCACCAGCAGAAGATCCAGATTTATGATTTTCCTGAGTCGTCATTTGCTCAAATCTTTATGTGGTGGTTTTGGAACTACTTTCTTTTTTAAATATATCTTTTTTCACGCATTCATTCAACAAAGATTTATTGAGCCATTGCCTAAAATCCTTTGTGAAATTGAGTTATGAGTAACTCTAGAAATAAAATTAAAGTAAAATTATCGAGTATGTGTGGTAGGTATATGCTAAGGTGCTGAGAATACAAAGACGAATAAAATACAGTCCCTGTCCTCGAGGAGCTTACAGTGTGGTGAGAAAGATAAATAATCCAAGATTTTCAGTACAATCTGTCAAGTGCTCTGATTGGGACAGGTGAAGGAGATACCATCCCCACACATCCCCTTTTCAAAACACTTCTCTCACTGTACTTTAATCATGGTTCTCTATGTGTCCCCCAAGGCCTCTCTGAGCCTCAGTGTGTTCATCCATAAAATAGGACTAACCTCCCTCTCAGTGTAGTTTCTGAGATTTAATAAGGTAGTATTTGTCATTTTGTAAATTCCCGAGGGCTATGCATGTGTTAGTTATTGCGTAGCAATAAAAAATGCATATGTTTTTTTATTTGTGCATTTTGCCAGAGCTGTTTTAAATTTTAAAATGGATTTTGGTAAGTTGACATGCCTATGCTGAAACAAAATCCTCCAGCCACTTAACTAGAATTGAACATGACAACGATGCAACATGAGACTGAGCCTCAATTTTGCTTTGATTGAATGGACTTGGTTAAATACACTTTAATCTTATTACCTCATTATATAATCTCAAATGAAGATTGTTTTCATAAATCCCTTCCAATTTAATATTTCCTCTCTTCTTTGTTCAGGTGTACGATCCATAGCAGAATGTTTGGCAAAGTCCAAGTCAGAAGAGACCCAGGAGGAGGCACAGGTTCTGTTGGATTCTTTGGTCCATGGTAATCCCAAGTACCAGAATCAAGTGTACAAAGGTCTAATAGCTTTGCTGCCCTCTGCGTCCCCAAAAGCTCAACAGCTGTCCCTGCAGACTCTCAGGACTGCCCAGGTGAGCCCAGGCTGCATGCTCCTGTGGTTCTCATTCAAACACAGTAAACTTACAATTACCTTCTATAGTTGCGCTCCATGCAGGCCTGAGAAACAGAGCTCAGCCCCCCACTGCATGTCTGCTATTCAGTCAGCGTTACTTCTAGAAGGCCAAGGCAGGGCAGAGAGTTCATGCTTCCCAGCGGAGTGATTTGTCCTGTTTACTTAAGGATCGAAAAGATGTTGGCAGACTTAAAAGTGGTTGAGACAAGCAGCAAGGAGGATGAAAGAACTGTAGAAAAGATTAAGGGAGTCAATTTGATAGGGAGGGAATCACGGTGCATTTATAGACAGTGCGTAAGTGAAGAGACCAGATCTCCAGTGCTTAGGAGAGCTCCTTGTTTTTCTGTTGGCTTCTGCCTTCCTCTCAGTGCCCTGGAATGGGAGCAAAGGCAGATTTGGGGCATGGTGACCACTGTGGCCACATGTAGACAGTGTGCCTAGTAAGATGGTAATTAGACACTCAAAGAATGGTTTTGAGATGATTCTTCAAAAGCTCTCAGAACTGCTCCAGTATGGGCTGGCGGCAGGGGGACGATTGAGAGATCAAAGATGGTAAGGCCTGAACTGTAGCAGTGGGAATAGAGGTGATCAGGTTACACAGTCATTTCGGAGGCAGAATGCATGGGACTTGGGGCAATAAAAGAAAAGTAGTCAAAGATGACACTCAGCTTTGGACTTAAGACAGCAGGATGAGTCGTATGCCACCAAAAGAAAGCAGGAAAAACCAATTCAATTTGGAAAAAGGTTTTGACTCAATAAACTTGATGAGCCTTGGTGGCTCCCATCTGAGGAGCAGGCCAAACTAGTTAGAGAAAATTAGATAGGTCACTTGTTTAAATGATACTGAATCCTGAGCCTCCCTGCCATAGAATCTGACAGTTCTTAGGTGGCCTTGGGTAATGCCTTTTCTTTTTAAGCTCCCCAAGTAATTTTGATTCCTAGCTCAACCAAAGAATGACTGTTTAAGACATCTAGTAAAGATGTGCATTAGACAGTAGAACATAAAAGGGCGAAGCTCCAGAGAGAGACCCAGGATGAGGATGGCAGTTTGGATTCCATGAGCAGAGAAATGATAGCTGAAACAATGAAAGCAAATATCACCGGGTAGAATGTACAAAGTAAGAAGAGTTGGAACACTGCCAACATTTAAGAAATGAGCTGAGGGAAAAGGTCCAGCAAAACAGATCTGATGATGATGATGATGATGATGATGATGATGATGATGATTATCTCCATTTTCCATTAAGTGCCTCCTACATGTGTTAGGGCCTTACTTATACTATCTCTTTTAGTCTTCATAATAGCTGATGGAGGCAGGTATTATCCCCATTTTAAAGGTGATGGAACTGAGCCTTAGGAAGGCATTCAGTGACTTATTCAAGGTCACACACTATAAGTAAGAGGTATTTACCTAGTGGGCAGTGAAACCCGACTCTCTCTAACTCCAGAGTCCTTATTCTTTCAACATCCACTCTGCCTCTTTGAAAAAGAATGATGAAAGTCATAAAAGGAAAACAGGAAAAAACAGGACTGTGAAAATCAGAGGAAAGAACTTCAATAAGGAGGACATGATCCACTGGGTCCTATACAACAGAGAGATTAAGTATGGGTTG